TCAGATCTGCTTTGATTCGGCTTTCTGCACTGAGCAGGGGGTTGGAATAGACGGCCTTATAGGCTCCTTCCAATGTAATCATCCTACAATTCTATGATTCTGTGTGATAATATTGGCAGGTAGTGGTGTTTATGCTGCTGCCATGAAGAGGACCAACTATTGATCTGTGCATCAAAACTCTGTTAAAGTCACCACTTCTTACCCCAAGCAGTTAGCTGTGGAATGGGAAGACTTTATGAGTATTTTTATGAATTCAATTAGATTCCAAGTGTATTTATTTCTATGACGTTAATTCACAATTTCATAATGTTAACACCTATCCAGAATGTATTAAATTTGCTGCCTGTTTTCTGCTACCATAGGTTATTGATTATCTGTGATAATGGAGGCATGAGAAAGAGGTAACAAGTGAATGGAAGAACAAGCAAGAGAAAATCAAACTCACGTCACTCAGTTTATCCTCCTCGGATTCCGAGATCTAAAGGATCTGCAGATCCTTCTTTTTCTTGTGTTCCTTGCTATCTACATTGCAACAATGGCAGGGAATCTCCTTATTGTTCTACTCGTGACGACTGACCAGCAGCTTCACATCCCCATGTACTTCTTCCTTGGCAACCTGTCCTGCCTGGAGATCTGCTATAGCTCAACGCTCATCCCCATCTTGTTGACGACTCTCTTGACAGATGGAACAGTAATTTCATTCCACGGCTGCTTCTTGCAGTTATTTTTCTTTGGTTACTGTCTGGGTGCTGAATGTTACTTGCTGTCTGTGATGTCATTTGACAGGTATTTAGCAATATGTAAGCCATTGCACTACACAGTGATGATGAACCCAAGAAAATGTATCCAGCTAGCAGCTGTCTCCTGGACAAATGGCCTTACGGGCATTTCCGTTATAATGGCTGGAATGCTGCAGTTAACATATTGCGGCCCTAATGAAATTGATCATTACTTTTGTGATTCAGTTCCACTTAGAAAGCTTTCCTGTGGTGACACAGATGTGGTGGAACAAGTTAATTTAGTCTTGTTATTTATTTACACTCTGCCTCCTTTTCTAGTAACTCTAGCATCTTATATATACATTATAAGGACTGTTTTAAAAATCCCATCTAAAACTGGGAGACAAAAGGTCTTCTCCACTTGTTCTTCTCATCTCACTGTTGTTTCAATTTATTATGGATCTGTGACGATTGTATATCTCCTGCCACCATCCTCTTCAATGAACAAAGTCTTTTCTCTCCTGTACACAATATTTCCGCCTCTAGTGAATCCCATTGTATACAGTCTAAGAAACAAGGACATCAAGAGGGCCTTGAGGAAGATGAAAAATAGAGTAGAAACTTTCAGAATATTTCAAATTATGTTGGCAGATCTGGCTATCTTTAATGATAAGTAGAAGAGATGGAGTTTGGCAATGAGGGACCTAGGATGTACCCCCTCACCATGAAT